GGGAAAGGAATTAATGCAGCATCAAGTTGTTAATGTAACACTAGAAATCATATGAAATCTTTTAACAAATTCTGAAAACATTATGCACAGTCAAGTATGTGTCTGTTTTTTGAGGAGTTTTCACATTTCAAATTACAAACCCAAAACAATCATTGTTAAGCTGGAAGACGTCCTATTAGACTTAGACTTAGACAGATTTTGTCAGTTTGTTACACAAGTGTAAAACAAAAAGAAATTTCGTTTAGAACAGCTCTCTGGACAATTTAATCTTTTTTTAAAAGTGCAGCCTTGAAAAAAAGTAAAATAAATAAATAAATAAAAACAGTAATATAAATATATGACTGTAAATTTGTAATTCTAACATTTTTTATTAACGATAAAAACACCTAATAGAAACTTTTTTTATCTTCTACAAATACAGTTAGTCATTATACTTTATTTGGTCTATTTTAGCAAAGTTTAGCTGATAATTTCACAAGATTTCATCATTTTTGAAAAGGAGACTTACATTTTTTTTAACATTATAGCTATACTTACTGTAAATATCATAAAACATACAGATTTATTTATCAAACCTATAACATACTGAAACACACTTTAGGCCAGGCTTGCCCAAAGTCGGTCCTCAAGGGCAGCTTTCCTGCAGGTTTTGGAGGTTTTCCTGCTCCAGAACACCTGATTTTCATTGACAGCTAATTAACAGATGTTTGCTAAACTGCAACGGGGACAAACCCTAAAACCTGCAGGACAGCGGCCCCTGAGGACCGACTTTGGGCAGGCCTGCTTTAGACCTTTACCAAAAAAGTAATACAACACTGGATAATGTGTCTTAAATAGATTCCTGGTAAATTATTGGTCAATCAGCAGCATGTCAAACCTTAATACAGAATATTTATATCTGGTAATAATAAAAGTTATGCTTTAAACCTTTTGGTTTAAGATGAGAACATCTGCACTACACCTGAAGTTTCACCTCAGCATCTAAAAACCCTCTAGTCTGTATGTTTAAAGACATTGAAGCTGTAACTTTAACTTACAGATGCAATTGATCAGATCAAACTTTCCTTTGTTAGTGCATATTAACGATGCAGCCATAGTCTGCTTCTTTAATATGTGGGTTTGAGGTTTAAATCCTGGTTTTATCAGAAAGGGCAGCTAGTGTAAAAAGTAATCATTTCTGTGAGCAGGTATGAATATTTTATAGTTGACCCCTTAATAAGGGAGAAACTGAAAATAAAACTGTCACTTCTGTCTGGCAGGGGAAGTTTACCATCTCTGTCCACCAGAGGGTGCTCTAACATATCTGCTGCTCTACTTAAACAGGATCTGTTGTACAGTAGCATATGTGTGTGAGTACGTGTGTATGGCACAATGTACAGACTGCTCTGTTGTCTCACTAGAAACTCTAGTGTGAGAAAAATCTTACAGAGAAAATGCAATTAAGCTGCAGAATATGATACACTCTTGTACTCTGTGTATCAAAAACAGCAATACTTCATTTAACTCACAAAATCAAAACAGCGAATGCAATTTTAAAAGTTGCTAGGTCTAGTTATTACCCTGCATTTTAGCAGGACTAGAGTCCTTTTCCGTCCTTCCCTCCTTCTGAGACTAACTCACTTCAGCTTCTTTGATGCTACTGCAAGAGCCGTGTGTAGGCCTCAGAGTGTGTGTGTCTTATTGTTTGATGAAACTTTATCTACAGGCACACATCTTTATCCCCTCGTGCTCTTAATCCGCAGTACTGTAAAACACACACCTATTCACACCCGTCAACACACACTAAAAACTGCACGTGCTTACACTATTCACACAAACACAGAGGCACACCATCACTGTACCACATCCCTGGGAACACAGAGAGGTTTCTATAGCAACAAGCATCTTGCTCCGCTAATGAACCGGTTGCCTTGGCGACCGTGTTGGCTGTGCTCGATCGGAGTAAGAAGAAGATGTGATGTTAGTCCTCTGCACAAAACATGTATAAATAAAGAAACCGGGAGCAGATCTGATTTGTTTTGTGGAGCACACACAGAAATGTGTGTCAGGGTGTGTGTGACACTAAGATCAATGACAGACTGAATGAGCGTTCTGTGAGCGAGGGAGCGCTGGCTGTCTCTAATGCAGTCAGACGCAGTGTGATCCCTGCATCTGGCTGTACTCTGAGTGGGCCAATCATCTCACTGCTGCCTGAAGGTCAGGAAGCTTCACAGCTTCACACTGGGAGCAGAGAGAGAGAGGAGGAGATGGATGGAAAGAGGAGGGCTGCCAAAAACTGCTGCTTTGGTAGCAGGGTTGATATTTCTGTTACTCTTAGGTGACTTAGCCCTTGAGCCATGAGGCATTTTGTCTGTTCCCAAATCCACAAGAGACTCTAAAGTGGCTGATATCGTTTCTGCTGATCACCAGAAATCCTCCACTTGAACCTAAATCACTGTCCCCTCCACCTGGTTTAGAGGTGAATAACTTCAGCATCCTGCAGTCATTTGCAGCATCTCCTGGCGCAGGGCTCCAGTCTTTGTGCAACTTTAATATATTTATTGCCCACACAGGTATGGGTGGTAAATATCTGATTTAATCAGATATTATTTGGACTGTAATATATTGTTTATGAACACACGCCCTACTGGCTGGTGTTAGAATAACAAAATAATGTCTGAAACGAGCTCAAATTATGGTCAAACAGATAATTTTGCACATACATGGAATAAATTCACCACAACTTCCATTCAAAATATAAGATTTTATTAACAAAAATCATTCAGCTCCAAGTCAAACATATTTCAGATAAAAAATCTTGACTAAAAACTAGTGAAACTCAACTAAACTAAACTACTATGTACAAAGAGGAAGAGAAAACACGGTTGAAAACCATAATCAATGAGATGATGTAATGATATCTCAGTTTAGCTGGATTGTGTGTTTGAGATCCAAAGTTTATCTTGTAGAATTAGGGATGTAATCAAATTAGCTGTTCACTAATTTAGTGCGATTAGAAAATTTTCAAACCAATTCACAATGCAAATCCATGAGGTGAATAAAACTTTATTTGGCCAAATTATGTTTTGTCAAATTATTTGCTTAATCAGGAACATGTCAACGTTAGTTAAATGCTTCTTTACCCTCTTGGAAATGGCTTGCAGCAAATGGATATAAGGATTCCAGTAAATACTTTTTGTCATAAATTAGTAATAGAAATGTAATGAGCATATGAAAAAACCATAAACACTAACATTATATTTGTGTTTAAACCCTTAGTGAAATAAAGCTTGTTTTAGCTTGTAAGGAAATGGCTCAAAATCAGTAAACACATGAAATGATCAAAATCTTCACAACATATTTTTTTAACTAGAATCTGTCCCTAACTGTGCCAGACCTCATACCTCTCCCCATAACTGTTTCGGAAAGTTTGAGTTTCCTTTAGGATTTAGCAGCTTAGCATGGCGGGGGGTGGGGTATGGGGTACTTTGTCTTATGTGGCTCATACCAATGGAAGGGCTTCGTTAGGAGGCTCTCTCCTCCAGTCCCGCTCTTACAAATGGTCTATTTTGCAGCAATTTGGTTCTAAAATGTCGACCATCAGAACTTGGCCTTGGTCATTCTGGAGATCTGGGGCTTGGGAGAAAGAAATCCTGTGTGGTGTGACGTTGTTGTCCTCGACACAGTGGGGGGACTAGGCACACCTCTGTGGGAGGTGTCCTGAGGGAAGGTTTGCAGTAGCTGTGGATCAGAACTGCAACTTCTACTCCAGTGAACATGTTAAGATGAAACATGGACATTGGTCCTCAATGTTAAAATAATCTTATTATTTAATTGATTGATTGAACTTTATCGATCTGATGTTGGAGAAATTTACTTCTGTATTTAACCCATCCCCTTGGGGAGTAGTGGGCTGCCATCGTGGGGTGTCCGGGGAGGAGCAATCGTGGGTTAAGGGTCCTGCTCAGAGACCCAGAGTGGCATGCTGTGGGAGTGGGGCTCAAACTCAGAACCTTTGGATTCCAAGCTCTATTCCCTATAAGCACTAGGCCACCACTCCCCCCTTATCAAGGCTCATGGCCCAACACGGTTTAGGGTCAAAGCCTGGAGCCGGAAAAGGTCCATTAAATTTAACGTGAAAAGATATTTAAAAATAAAAAAAATTCAAACTAAATTGAAATACTGTAAAGATTTAAAGACACAGAGTAATATATGAAGCTCAACAGTGGCCAAAATATGTCTTAATGTGAAATAATTGCTAAAAACTGAAAAATCATAATTCAAATATAAAAAGGTATAACATAATAATACAGCTTATAAGAGCTTAATAAGAATCCTAAACTTTCTGTTATTCTAAATGATATGAAAACTAAGAACATCATGACAAAGAGCAACAAAGAGAAACAAATATATATATAGATGACATGAGATATTTTAAATTGAGAGTTTTGATTTGAAGTAAATGACTCATTCAGCTTAGGTTTAAAGTCTCTCTATTCATTATTAAAAGGGGTGTCTCTGGCTTTAGACATGATGCTTTTAGCCTGCGTCCGATAAAAAGATAAGATCTTTAAGACATTCTTCAACACAAATTTACCTTTTTGCTCTTTTGTTTTTATTTCTTTCTTTAAACTATATGAAAAACGGTGGATGCAGTGAAGATGTTTAAACACACATGGAGGGCATCTAATAAGCTGAAACAAATAGAATGCTAATCTAAAAAACACTTTCATTAGACGCAAGGCCCCAGAACTGAGTTCAGGTACCATGTTGGATTTTATAGGCTTTTCATTAAGGGTGAAAAGCGTTGAATGTTACTCTTTATTTTTCAAGTGTATGGATAATTTCATCCTAAATGAGTCGTTTTTCAAATTAAAGGGTATTTTTTTTATTTGGCTTTATGCAGAATAATGCAAATCAGAGCCTGATTGATGAGAATAATGCAAAGGCTTCAGCCTCTTCATATTCACTAACTGCTTTTGAAACTGCTTTGGAAACATCTATATGTGTTTGTCCTGCAGAAATGTCTGCGGTTTAACCCCGATGCCACGGTATGGAAGGCCAAACAGCAGGTGCTGTGTTCTCTGACCGAGTCCCTGCGAGACGTCCTGAACTACGGCCTTTTCCAGCCAGCAACAGATGGACATGACGCTAAGTTCCTGGAGGAGGAGAGACCCCTCAGAGAGTACCCACAGTCTTTTGAGAAAGGGGTGCCATATTTGGAGGTACTTATTTAACCTTTTGTTGACACTATTTCAAAGAAAACACTCTACACAACGTGAAGTACCTTGTGCTGTCTGAGGATGGCACTACTGTTCTTTAGTACGGCAAAAACAGATTGTATATCATACATATGAAACATTTTCTTCAGCAATGACAGTTTCTCTGTGCAGTGTTAACTGCATTAGACTTATAATCTTTCACATTTATCAAAACTAACAATAAGGATGTTTAAAGAAGCCATGGAAAATACTGTAACACAGTATTTATACCTTTTGGTTTTTCACAAGTAATGACTTCAACCCATAAGCTCTCATTTATACTGTTAGAATTTGGTGTAATAGACTGATACCAGGTACAGAATCATTTTAAATGTGTTTCTAGATTAAACAAATGACATAATTAATAAAGTCCACCTGAGTGTAAATTAACTTGGTATAGATGCAGCTGTTCTCAACCTCAACAGCTGAAGTAGGACAATCTGGTAGGATCACTATCTAGGAAGAGGTTTGGTAATGATCTTTACTGAAATAAGTAAATACAATTTTTAGTTTGATGTTTTTCATCAGCCATGTAGAGAACAAAGCAACCAATCTGCAGAAAATTCTCTAAACAGATCCGCCATAGTTCATTTATTTGGCATAAAAAACAACATAAGGGATATGGAAAACTAAGATAACACACCCTCAAAGCACAAATCTCAGGTCCAAACACAGAGGTGGTAGCATCATGCTGTGGGGATAGCTTTCTTTAGTAGAAACAAATGGTCCAACATATTCTCATTATCAGTTCGTATGAAATCGTACGAAAAGTTATGCACAGTATTTCGTACGTTTTTGACGTTTTTCCTCGAAAAAACAGATCAGTGCGCATGCGCAGCCAGACAGACGAAAAAAGCAGATCCACGGACGGATGTAAAACTGGGAAAAACAGTGCAATAATTACTTCTTGATGTCTCTAACTACGTTGCTTGCTGTTTTGTATCTTAGGGTTAGGGTTAGGGTCAGTTGTATGTTAAATAACCTTAAATGAACAGAAAGAGTTACCGCAGGACCATTTGGATTAAAGCAGATTCATGTGCTACCAAAGTGTTGACTCAGATCAGTGAATTTAAATAAATGCCACATTTCAGATCTTTATTTGTTGAAAAATGGAGAACCATATTAAGTCCTTTTCAATCCAAAATTATGATCTGCTTTATCAGAAATCCATTAATGACAGAAAAGTTCAGAGGAAGCGAAACAAAAACTACATATCAGTTGATATGATCAACTTCTGAATCCTTTACATCATCAGCGAGGCTATTTAAATAGAAAATAACACATTTTAAGATTATTATCTTAACATGATATATTTTTGTCATAATTATTTTATCGGCTATTGATGAACAAAACATTTTGCTTTATTCCACGATTTTAAATCAAGAAGGTGTCATGTTTTTTATTTGAGTACATTTGGTCCACAGTTACAGCAACTGGCTTTTGAACTGTTTGATTTGAATAACCTAAACATTTCTCTGAGAATAATGCAGACTTTTACAGAAAAGAACTGAACTCTTTAATGATTCCCCATATTTCAAAATTGATTAACTTTATTGATATCACAGTGGAGAAATGTACTCATTACATCAGCTCAAATAGTCAAAACAGAAGAAGGATGTGCCAAAGGAAGAAAAAGGTACATGGGACATATACAGTATATGTCCACATATAACAGCTTTTTAAAAAAATTTTGTAGCAGGAATATTATACAGGGTTGTTGCACAGGGATTTTACATGGGTATGTATAAAGATGTATAGTTATATATATAATTATTGCACTGGGTGTCAAATATAGACAAACAGTTATTGCACAGGGTATGAAATAGTAATTGCACATTATATATTGCACAAGTCATTGCCTTTGTAGTGTTGCATTGTAGAGTCTGGTGGCAGTAGGGATGAATGACCTGCAGCAGGGCTCCTTTTTACAAACAGGGTGCAAAAGTCTTTCACTAAAGGAGCTGATCAGCTCCTCTACAGACTGGTGCAGAGGGTGGAAGGTGATGTCCATGATGCATGTAAGCTTGAACAGCATTCTCTTCTCAGCCACTTCCTCCACTGAGTCCAGAGTGCAGCCTTGGACAGAAATGGCCTTTCTCACCAGTTTGTTCAGTTCTTTCTGTCTCACTCTGCACTGTTAGGGGCCCATCAGACAACAACGTAGAGCAGGGCTGATGCACAGAGTGAAATCCACATCTGCAAAAACATCTTATCCTATATCCTACATCATACCCTTGTGGAGGAAGACAGTTTCTTCCTTTGTTTTCTTCTTCACTGGTTGATTAAAATTGTGTTTTGTTTTTCTCTGTTTCTGTTGCTGGCTTAGTTCCGCTATAAAACCAGGGTTTACAAACAGACCAATCTAGATGAAAAGCAACTGGCCAAACTGCACACCAAGGTATGAAATCTTAAATTCTGACTTGATGATATTGAAATCATTTCCTTGTTTTTGTATTAGATTTGACCGTTTTGATGCTCCCTCCTCTAATGCAGGCGAGTCTGAAGAAATTTATGGATTACATCCAAACCAGCACTGTGGACAAGATGGCCAAGTTCCTGGACAAGGGCCTGGATCCTAACTATCAGGATCCTGACACTGGTGGTGAGGACAGCTGAACAGCTGATGTTTATTTCCTCATTTTCCTAACAGGTTTACTTGACGTATATCAGCTTTTAACAAATCCTTACAGGAACAAATCCACAAAAAATTTATTAAATCAATTTATTGCCGCTATCCTTGCAGAAATGACTGTAGACAGTAAACTAATATTAAAAATACTATAAAAAATGATCTATATCCTTTTACAGAGGCATATATGGATGCAATATTTTTAGGATACTGTTTCTGCATATCGGTGATGTATTTAAGCAGCTGGATGAACTTTAACTTCTTATGTATCTATACTTTACTCCATTACTTAGTTTTCTTCCTACCTCTGACTTCTACTCTTTACAATTCCACACAAGTATCTGTACTTTCTATTCCTTACATATTTAAGACAAACGTTACTCGTTACTCTTGGCTTCGGTTTAATGTTTATAAATATTTATTTCACGTCATGTGGGCCATCCAATGCAGATCATTGGCTCCATCCACATCTAGTGAAAACTAGTGTGATTGGATCTATAGAACGCAAACACTCATTGGTTAGCTAAAGGAAATCATCAGAAGCAAGCAGGTGTTCTTCAAACTGCAACCATGAATTGTCTATACCATGCTACAATGATTCAGAAAAAGATCTTAAAATGTCTAAAAGGTCGGACACAGGCGGAGCGTATCGGGAGACGGGGACCAACAAGACCTTCCTCATCCTTGGCCCTATCTCAAAGAATTTTCCAAATAGTCATAAAATTTAGCTTTCATTTCATATAGCAGCATCTGGCTGTTTTTTTTTTTGAAGGTTACTATATACTTTTAAACTTTAAATAGTTTTTGGAGCACATACTTTTTCACTTTTACTTTAGTAAAGAGTTAATACTTCAACTTTTACCAGATTGTTTTTAAACTGCAGTATTTATACTTCTATTTAAGTACTTTTAACACTACTGCCTGCCACTCATGGGAGCAAGTGTCAAAACACAGAGGGAAGTCTGTATTAAAGGCTGTGATGCATGTTCTTACCTCACAACACACGGGGGCGCCAGAGAGTCATAACAAAACAGTAATATGCTTATAGTGTTCTTAAAGTCCACAACAACTGCTCTAAAAGACAGTAGTAGGGTACTGCTTGGGGAAAAAATGAACGAAAATTATTATAGCCCACCAACCCAGACTTTCCAGAGGTCAGAAGCTGAGTTTCTTTAATTGAAGATTATTCATTGTGCAATTTATGTTTGTGTCAAAAGGCTGCATTTCCATTTAGGAAAGGAAAAAGAACATTTACAACGGAAGTCCTTCCTTCCTTCCTTCCTTCCTTCCTTCCTTCCTTCCTTCCTTCCTTCCTTCCTTCCTCTGAGTAAAAATGTTTCTTTAGCGTCATCAGGATTAGAATTATGTTTATAACCACATCAGCTGCATAGACAACCAAAAATGTCATAAGATATTAGAAAAACTGTATTGAACTACTGCAACATCCTGCCAGCACAATTCACTGCAAACAATGAGATGCACTAATATTATTCCCTTTATCTTTGAAATAAGGAGAGTAGACCCAGATCGCTGTTTTTAACAGATAGTCACAAATAACATTCTCTGTTTTTTTTGTTTTTTTTGTAAAATGAAAAAAAAAATATAGAGACGACCAATGTTCTTTATCTTCATTTTTTTTTTATCACAGCAAAGGTTGAAAGGTTTGGTAGAGTAGAGCCAGACCAAGTAGAGCTGGTAAGAAAGAACAATAAGTGTCATGAAGTCATTTAAGACCAGACTTGAAATTTTCTGTATGTTTTATTGAGATCAATTTAGACATATTTAGGCTCTAACTGCATAGAGCTACTGAGTAAAGTGGAACTCTGTTTTTTTACTATTCTGTAACAGTCTTCGATCATCCCTCAAGTTTTCATCACTTTTGTTTCCAAGCAGGAAAACTTCTATGACCTAATATGCAGCCAAAGTACAAAGATATTGTAACATCATCATCATCAAGATGTTTTTAAATGGCTGAAATAACTCTGGCTGCATTTAATGGTACCAGTGATATAATAGAGACACACTCAGTTCTTCTGATACCAACTCAGTTCTTGTTTCACAGCAGGAACTCAGGGGAGCAGTTTCACTGTCTGGTTTTAAAGATATTAAAACCTAGTTTTATCTTACAGGGTTAAAATGAGCCTCTGAATAGATTGACTTGGATGTGCCCCTGATTCAAATTCTGAAAATACCTTCAAAGCAAAGTTCATCAGCGGGTTGACACATCCTTCTGTTGCTAAATGTGACCCGTGTGTTGTGTTGTTTTCAGAGACTCCTCTGTCGCTGGCAGTGCAGTGTGAGCCAGGTGGAGGAGAGGCCATCCGGGTCCTGGTGGACAGTGGCGCTCACATCGACTTCCGTGCCAAAGATGGACTCACGCCGCTTCACAAGGCTGTTCGAGGCCACCGCCATACAGCCCTGCTGGTAAACATTCCCCAATGTTTGCATCCCTCTCTTAAAAACTTAACCTTCAGTGTCCTAAAAATGAAACGGAGAAAAACGCATGACAATGACTGCCTTTTTATAACAGCCTTTTACATATACATTGTCCTTTAATATTTTTGTTTTTCAAAATACATCCTTATCTCCACATTGTGAAGCAGCTTAGAGTTTTATGCTTCCTAACAGTTCCTGTTTGGGTCTGGGAATGTGCAGTCTCACTTCCCGCTCCCCTTATCCTGCAGGTCCTGCTCTCTCTGGGTGCTTCTCCAGACTATAAGGACCGGCGGGGGCTGACACCGCTTTACCACACTGTGCTAACAGGGGGTGACACCTCCTGCTGTGAAACACTGCTTTACCACCACGCCAATCTGGGCATCAGGGACGAGAACGGCTGGGATGAGACGCATCAGGTACGTTTTTCCGCACCAGAAAATAACAAAGATCACAGATTTTGGGCGGGGCGTAAAAAACAAAGAAAGA